GCCCTTTGCCACAGTGGGGGACTTCCCAGCCTCTGACCTCCAACCCACAGCCTGACCTTCACCCAGGCACCCTACCAGCCCCAGACCCACCCATACGACCCCTGACCCTCAGACCATGACTTTTCTGTCCACAGGCTTCTTCTTTCGCAGTTCCGCTGTCTTCTAGGGGTGGGGACCAGGGCAGGGGGAAGGAGGGCGGGGTGTAGGGTAGGGGAAAGGTTTTATCCAACACCACATCCTGTTTATGCCCATTCTAGGACAACTGTTGTAGAGGGCTCCTCCCCCTCCTTCCTTCCCCTTATCTACAGGACCTCCTAGCCTTTGCAATCACCTAGACTGGGGTTTGACTGCTGCCTTGCTGTGTGACCCCAGCTAAGTAACTTCACACCTCTGATTCACGATTATTGTGAAGATAAAATAGCTTCACACGTCTCCAGGCATGGTGGACATGTTCGATACACAGTAGGTATCTCCCCTCCCCCAGGAAGCCTTCCTGGATTTCCCCCCAACTAGAATATTTTAATTCCAGAGCCAAAAAGGGGGACCTACCGGTCAAACTGCCACCAATTGTGTTGATGGAGAAATGGAGAGGAGAGAGGAGACAGACACCACAGCAGCAGGACAGGTGATTTTTTTCCTTGAAGTCGTTTGGCCTCATAGGCTTTATAAAGGGACCTACAACAATGGTGTTCATCCTGTCAAACCAGTACCCCCTTTTTATTAAGAGCATTTTGTATGACTTCCTGTCCCATCCTGAGATAAAATTCCTAAATAATGTACCCTACTTATACACATAAATTTTTTGAAAAAATCAATATAATGTTCCAACTGTCGTATAAAGGAGAAATGAAAAAGAAGTAATTTATAGGAAAACCCCATGTATTTCAGTGAAAAAATACAAGCAAACAAGAGCATTGTTGCGGATTCCAGGCTCATAATAGCTCCTTCCCTCCGTAGTGGACAACAAGCCTTTGTCGTCCCCTCTTCTCTGCACTGGATCCCACCACGACCCACTCAGGTGCGTCCCTGCCGCAATTCTCCCTCTCCATTCCTGTCTCCACTGGATCTCCTCCTCATATAGGCAGTGTTATTTCTTCCATCTTAAAAACTAAAAACCCTATGTCCTGCCCAGCCACTGCCCTTTCATTTCCTTCCCTTTTCAGCAAAGCTTCTCAAAAACATCGTTTACACTGCCTACCTTGAATCTGCCCTCCCAATTTCCTTCTACTCTGCCCAGCAGACTCTCAGTCCCGTCCCTCTCCACCGACAGGGCCACCAGTGACCTGTATGGTGGACCTGATGGTCGATTCTAATTCTTCACCCGACACCATCCATTGCTCCCTGCACTCTGAAACGTTTTTTCACTTTGCTTTCAGGACACCCCCCTCACCAGGTTTTCCTCTGACTCCTCTAGCTGCTCCTCATTTTGACAGTGGGGTCCCAGGTCTCAGTCCTTGGTCCTCTCCTCATTTCCATCTACCTTCCTCTCTTCCTGATCCCGTCGGTCTCTGGCCATTCATAAGAGCTACCTTAATTGTTTCTCCACTGGGCATCTCCCTGAACTCTAGACTCACATTCAGTGGCCAACCCGACATCTCCACCTGAATGCCTCAGAGTCATCCTTCACACTTCTCTTTCCTTTGACAATATACATCAGAATTTGTCAGCTCAGACTTTGTAAAGGTAACCAGAACCTGCCCACTTCTCTCCCCCGCCACAGCCCACACCCTAGTCCTGACACCTTCATGTCCTTCCTGAACACTTAAAGGAGAGAGAAGCCCCCTCCTCTCTCTCTCTCTCTCTCCCCTCTCCCCACACTCTATTCTTCATGGGAGTACCAGGGAGCCCTAGTAAAACCCAAGTCAGATGACATATCTCCTCTCAAAACCCTCCCAACAGCTCTCCTATTATTGGGGTAAAAGCAAACGTCCTTACAGTAGTCTTTAGAATTAAATTATCTGGCCCTGGTTGGTGTGGCTCAGTGGATTGAGTGCCGGCTTGCAAACCAAGGTTTGATTCCCGGTCAGGGCACATGCCTGGGGTGTGGGCCAGGTCCCGATTGGGGGCGCATGAGAGGCAACCACACATTGGTGTTTCCCTTTCTTCCTCCCTTCCCCTCTAAAAATAATCTTTAAAAAAAATTATCTGCCATTACCACTCCTCCACCACCTCTTGGACCCTGTCTTTCACCTCTTTGCTCACTTCAGCTGCATTAGCCTTTGTGGTTCTGTGACCGATCCTGCCCCTGGGCCTTTGCACTTGCCATTCCCTCTTTCAGGAACCCTCTTTCCCTCACGGTTCACCCCTTAATTCCTTCAGATTTCTGTTCAAATCCCACCTGGAGAAAGGTCTTTTGCTAAAACAGTACTGACCCTATCTCTCCATCCCCTCAGCTTGTTTCATTTTTCTCCATAGTACTTATCAACATGTTAGATTGTATTTATTGTTTGTGCCCCTCCCCAGGAATGTGGGCTTCATGAAGACAGATAAGCTTTGTCTGCATTCTTCATTGATGAAATCCCAGTAACTTGAGCAGTGCATGCACACACAAGGGGGAACACCCCCCAAAACAGAATTTACTTAAAAAATGTGTATTATTACATGTTTAAACTTCAGTCATCTTCAAAGAACTCTCCATTTGATGTAATACACCTATTGAGATGGTTTTTCCACTGCTTTTGAACTTGCCAATTTTGATGCCTTTTAGTACTTCTGCCATTTTTGTTTCGCCCCTTCCACTTTGGCAAAACGTTTCCCTTTGAGGGAGTTTTTCATCCAGGGAAACAAAAAAATTTCACTTGGGGTGAGATTGGGTGAACAGGGAGGGTGGGGCAAGGGGGTCATGCCGCTTCTTGTCAAAAACTCAGCGCAGCCCTGGCTGGTGTAGCTCAGTGGACTGAGCGCAGGTCTGCAAACCAGAGGATCGCAGCTCCATTCCCAGTCAGGGCAAATGCCTGGGTTGCAGGCCAGTTCCCTGCAGGCCAGTTCCCAGCAGGGGTCGCACTAGAGGCAACCATACATTGATGTTTCTCTCCCTCGCTCCTGCCCCTCTAAAGATAAATTTTAAAATCTTAAAAAAAAAAAAAAAAAAAAAAAACCACTCAGCAGCAGTGTTGGCATGTGCGCTTGTAAATCACCATCATGAAATGAGCAAATGCATTGAAGAGCCTTCAAAAAAAGTTCACAGAGGCCAAACAAAGCCTCTCACAACAATACAGTTGGTACACTGGTGCATATGGGTTCCTAGAACACTCACCTAGCAGGGGAAGCCTGTTCTACGAGGGGCCTGCCCACTAGAAAATTCCAGCTGGTTTTTGGGTCTCCCTTGTATTAAGTACATAAGAAATACTGTTAAATGAGTAAATAAAGCAGCATCTATGGAGCACAATCACTCTATATGGTGTTAAAGTTCTTGCCTCAATGTAGGGGCTAGTGGATGGGGTTTGTGCCATCCCCCACCCTGGCTTGAAATGGCCTTTCCTCACAGCATCCATGATGCCACTTTCCTCATTTCCCTCCTCTCTGCTGCTGCTTCTCAAGAAATCTTTGTCCATTTCTTTGCTCAAATCTTCCATGTTCCCTTTTTTCTCAGGGTCCCTGTCTCCATTCATATCCCTCATACCCTCCTCCCCAGGCTAGGTCACTAATTCCCACAGCTTCAATTATCATCTTCGATGATCCTCAAATCTTGGTTTCCAACCCCAATTTCTCTCTTAAGCTCCGGACACAGGGGCTACGCAGACTCCTGGACCCTGCTGCTGGGTGGCCCACTGAACTCAGTATCTTCAAAACCTGTATCTTTCCTGGGCCTCCTTCTCAGAAATACCCCCCCAACCCCCCAATCTCCCAGCCAGAGGGCCTTACTTTAGATATCCCCCTCTCTTACCGTCTGCAGCCAGCCAGTCCCAGCAAGGGCCAGCTAGTTCAGCATCCTGGGCTTTTCTCCCACCCGTCTTCCTCCCCTTCCCACGGTTCCACTCTGGTGCAAACGTCCCTCTCCCATCTCTAATGCTTCCCTTTACTCACGGCCCCTCTCTCTCTTCCCTCCAATACGGAAGCCAGAGACATCTTCCAAACCAACTCACCGTGGCTCTTCCCAGCTCGAAGCCTTTCCACGGCTCCGTAGTGCCCAAGAGACAAGTCCAAACTCCCTCAAGTGGCCAAACATCTGGCTGCAGCTCATGTCCCACCATCCTCTGCCTTGAACTCTACAATACACCTCGACTGCATTTACTGAGTTCTTCTAACAAGCCACGTCTCAGTCACCTGAGAGCCTTCCGAGCGAATACCCCGATTCTGCTAAGTTCACCCCGAGCCAGGGAAGTTCGTGCATGAACCAACAGATAACAACAGCAGGAGCAAAAACTCCCATTTATTGATGGTTTCCTTTGTGCCCAGCGCTTTCTATGCATCGTCTCTTTCAATCCTATTCCATTTGAGAGAATAAGCAACAGGCTCAGATGGGGGAGTTGTGCTGAAAAAGCAGAGACTCCAAAAGCCTGAGCGCCAACCTGGACAGTCTAAGGCACCGACGGGCCAGGGCTTTAGGCGGGGCTCACCGAGAGGCCGGCAGCCGGCCTTGAACGCCAGAATGAAGAATTGTGACTTAGCGCGAGGGCGTTGAGATATGTGCGCACGAGACTGCCCCCTGCGGGCCAGGAGGCCCAATGCTGGACTCCGCCAGGCCCGTTGCCCGTAGCAACGTTGCGCGCGCCCCGCCCCTTCCCCTTCTGACCGACAGCCCCCTGACCGACCAATCCCACGGAGCAAGGGGCGGACCTCCCAGTCCTTATCCAGCCCCAGTCGCTCTCCGCGCCTCCAGGACCCGGTCTTCCTCCGCGCTCACCGCCCGCCCTTCCCGCTGCCCTCGCCGCCCGTTGGTGGTGTGCGATTCGTCACTGCGGCGTCTGCTAATGCTGGCGCGCGGCAGCTCCGCCGGGGCGGGGCCAGGGGCGGTGACGCACGGCGCGGTGACGCAGCGCGACGGCGGCAGTGGCGGCGGCGGTGGTCGGTGAGGGAGGAGGGAGGGGAGCTCGCGGGCTGGAGAGGGGGCGACGGCTGTGGCGGTGGCCTGAGGAGGCCCGAGCGGAGGCGGCGGCGGCCGAGGCGGTGAGTCGCGGGCAGAGTTGGGCGGTCCCGGGGCAGCGGCGGGTCTGGGCGCTCGGGGCTCACCTAAGGGCGCCCCAGGCCGCGCGGACGGCCCCGCCCCCTCAGGGACCCCGAGCCACGGGCGGCGGCGGGCTCGGAGCGCGGGCCTGAAGGGTCCCGACCCTTGAGAGAAGCCCCAATCACGGTCCTCCGAATAGCTTTCACAGTTCACTTCGGAAGCTTCCCTTCCAGATCCCCCTCACACCCTCGGGATCGACACCGCTGTCTACCTCAGACACCTCCTAGGAGGGCGGTCCCCGGCGACCTCAGAGACCCCCCTGAGGGCCCCAGGCCATCCCGCCTCCGATGGACCCAGGTCTTCTCAGGAGCCCACCCCCATTCCCACAGGCTAGTCCAGAGATTGTCCCATGTCTTGGAAATTGACCTCACAGAACCGTGCCCCAAATCCCCATCTTCTTTCTCTTTACAGAAATATTCCCCTGACCACTTCTCGGATATTCCAGCAATATGTGTCAGATGTCTTTTCCCTCTGAAACCCTGAAAACCTCCTTCATGGTTTTCCTCAAATCCCTTCCAGACTCGGACATTCCCGAAATCTTTCCCAGAGATCGATTTGGCACAGCCCCCCCAGTCTCCCACAGACTTCCCTCTCACCTTCACCCATATACCAAAAATCACCCTGGAGATTTTCCACTCAGAGCCCCAAATCTCAGAACCCCTGACCCCAAATCCTTCAGAAAGCCTCTGATGTGCCCTGAAATCTTCCTTAGAGACTCCCTGAAATGTATGGTGAACTACTCTTCCACATTCTAAAAAGCTCCTTCCAAAACTCCCAAATCTTTCCTAGTAACCCACACCAAATGTCCCAAGAATTGCTTCTGAATTGAAAAGAGTTCCTTTATGGTTCTTCTCTATAACTTCCCCCACCCCTTCTAAACCTACTTTTAACTGAATTTTCTAACATCCTCCTCACAACCACTGTAAACCTTGAGACCCTTTTCAAGACCTCTCTGAGGTGCAGTTTTTCAAAATCTCACGTCTTCTCAGAGACCCCAGCAATCTCCTTGAGCTCTCCTAAGGTGTGCCCTTGAAATCCCTCCCAGAGGCCCTTCAAACCACCACCACCACCACCACCAACACACACACACACACACACACACACACACACACACACACACACACACACACAGCGGAGCCCCTTGAGAGACCTCTTGCCTTAGTAAGAGACTTTTTCTCCCTGGGCTCTCCCTCACAGGTTCACTCAAATCCTCTAGAACCCTCTGTAGAAACCCCCCCACTGCCAATCTCCCCTCAAAAGAACGCAGAGCTCCTGCTCTTAGAAAGTCCCCGAATTCTTTCTGAAAAGCCCTCTACCCTGACATTCCCACATTCCCCTCAGAAGACCCACCTTCCCCATATACTCTTTTGAGGGTTTTCCTCAGAGGTTTCTCCTCATCTGAGCTCTCTGAGGAGTTTCTAAAAAAGACCTCTGTCATCCTGCCCTAGTACATCTAAGATCTCTCTCAGTAGACCATACCTCCCAGAGACCCTTTAGAGAATTTTCTCCAAAATTGCCCTGCATTAACAACTCAGCCCCCAGCACTTCATGAGATTTCCTCAGAACTCTCCCTTAGATTCCCCCTCTTACATCCCCAAGAAACTTTATTCAGTCCCTTATCAGCTTTACCCCTTTTAGAACCCCTGTTTACACCCTCTCATCTCTTCCATTCTTTTTCCTCTGAAGTCAATTTAGAGATCCTTTGCATATCTGAGCCTCCCCCCCTTATCCTGTCATGGACCCCCAACATCCTTCAGACAACCCTCTCAACAGGCTCTAGCCCTGACTGGTATGGTCCAGTGGATTAAGTGCTGACCTGTGAACCAAAAAGTTGCTGCCAGGGTATATGCCTGGGTTGTGGGCCAGGTCCTCAGTTGGAAGCATATGAGAGGCAACCAATTGATGGTTTTTTTTCCCTCTCTTCCTCCCTCCCTTCTCCTCTCTCTAAAAATAAATAATTTTTTTTAAAAGGCCCCATGTCCCCTTTCAATAAAAAGTTTCTCAAGAGACACTCTCAGCACTTGAAATCCCATACCTCAGAGGCCTTTCTTTCAGACCATTTTTCTTAGGTTCTATCATCATAGACCTTCTCCTGTGTACAGAGATACCCTTAACACCTCCTTAAAGACTACTTGAGGACTCCCCTCACCCCCTTTTCTGTCAGCAGCCTTCACCTTCCTTTTCCCCTATAGTAGTGGGTCTCGTGTGGTCCCTTGACTAGCAGCATCTGCATCATCTGGGGGAACTTACTAGAAATGCAGATTCTTGGATCCTACCCCAAATCTACTGAATCAGAAAATCTGGGTATCAGGGCCAGTAGTCTGTTTTTAGGAACCCTCCTGGTGATTCTGGTGTATGCTCAAGTTTGAGAACCACTTCCTTATAGGAGGATTTCCCTTTTCCCACAGAAAGCCCCCAAAAGATGCCTTGGTATAAATCTGTGCCCTACGGCCCACCTCCCATTTTCCTGGGAGTACCCTTTGTGAAGTACCCATCCTCCAGAAAGAGCCCTCACTCTCCTCCTAACTTCTCCACAAAGTTACCACACCTGAGCATTATTTCAGATTCTACTTCTAAATGGTTCCCTTTCAGATCTCCCTTAGCACTCTCTCCTTCTGGCTTCCCCTCCACACCATCCCTCCAGTCTTTGGTGCTTCTGCTTCACATTGCTACATTGCTACCTCCTCAAATACACATGTACATTTCTTCTCATCTACTCCACATTTGTCCTTTTCCACATAGGCACCCTCCCCTTAAGGCACCTGCAAGTCTTCATTCTCTGTGTTACTGCCCAGAGCCCTTCATTGTGCTTCTTAGAGTACCACTCAGCTTCTTCCTTGTAGTTTTTCATGTATTTGCCCACTTACCCACCCTCCCTAGACTGGGAGTTTGGAAAATACTCTGGATGTGTCTTATACCTCTCTGAATCCCACAAAGTCGGATCTGCTCTCTGTAAGTTATTGGGAAGCATTGGATCATTGGCAGTTCTTGTGTTTGGCTGGAAATCTCCAAGTTTCTCAGATCTCACTCCCTATTCAGGTTCAATATACCTTCCCACACCTTGTTTCCGTCTCCCTCTCTTCTCTCTACCCAGCCCTTTTTGCCTCTTCTCCAAGGAGACGCTGTCTGCCTCAGCTGCTCCTGTCTGTGGGGCTTTTCTTTGTATTTCCTCCTGATTCCAAGCTACCCCAAGTCCTATTCCTGGTGACTTGCCTCATCCCATCCTGCTTGGCTTCTTAGCCCTCCACAGGACTCTCAGCTTTCTTTAAGGGACTCTGTTTCTTTCTGGGGTCAAGAAGAGGAAACATCACAGTATAAATACTGGGGCCTGCCTTCAGGGAGCTCTCAGTACAGTAAAGAGGTTGGGCAGGTACACAGCATAGAACATGCAGCACAAATTTTATGTTATGGAAATTCAACAGTGAGAGAAGGAGCACTTTATACTTCATAGAAACGAGGTATTTGGGCTGGGTGGTGTTCCACAGGAGTTTGGACAATGCTGAGTAGCCTCCCAGACAGAGGAAACAGCTTATGCAGTGGGTTGAAGACAAGAAAGTATCCTCATCTTTTCACCCATGGCATCTCTTCTCTTCTAAAGGATAGAGATAAAGGGAAAGAGATCTTCCATCTGCATTGTATTTGCTAGCTGCACTTTAGTGAGCCAAAGAGTAATAATAATGACTGCTATTCATTGAATTATTATTATTTGCCAGTCACTGTTTAAGTGTTTTACATGTATTATCTCATCTCATATTCACAGGACCTACAAGGTAGGTAAACTACAATTATCTTCATTTTAAAAAGGATGAAATTGAGAACAGGTGGCACAAATAGAAGCTCCCTGATCCCTGTCTGTCCCAAGATGATAGTGTCTGAAGTCAGAGAGTTGGATTTTCTGTTCTGATAGGGTTGGGAGCAATGGAGCATTGTAGTGCAGTACTTAAGTATGCAGACTTTGGAGCCAGACAGGATTTGCCTCCCGCGTGTCACCAGTTTTGTGACCTAGGACAAATTACTTAACTTTGCTGGCCATCATTTTTTACAGTTAAAAAAATGAAGATAATAATAATAATATCCTACTTCATAGAATAATTATAAGGATCAAGTAAGTTAATGCATATAAAGTACTTAAAACAGTGCCCTGCACATAAGTTCTAAGTGTTAGCAAAAAAGAAAAAGCTCATATTAGCAAGGATCCTAAAGACAGAAATGGTAGAACCTTAGCTCAAACTAGTTTAATCAAAAAGGAGAATTAGCCCTGGCTGGTGTGGCTCAGTGGGTTGAATGCTTGCCTGGGAACTGAAAGGTCGCTGGTTCAATTCCTGGTCAGGGCACATGCCTGGATTGTGGGCCAGGTCCCGGTTTGGCGATGTGCGTGAGGCAACGGATCAATGTTTCTCTTTTGCACATAGATGTTTCTCTCCCTCTCTTTCTCCCTCCCTCTTCTCTCTCTAAAAAAATAATAAAATCTTTAAAAAGAGAGAGAGTATTAATTGATTCATGTTACTAAAAAGTTCAGAGCTAGAATGGCTTCAGAACTAGCTGCATCCAGTTTAAACAATGCAGTGATCTCTCCCTGTTTCTCCACTGACTTAGCTTCATCCTCCGTGGATTTCTGCTTTGTGGTGAAAAACATGGCCCTCAACAACCCCAGGCACAGGTCCTACCTCTTAGCAGTCTCAGTGGGAAGGAGAATCTTTCCTGAGAGCCCCAGTTTGAAAAGTTTTTTCCCTGAAAAAATGTGAGATGATGACAGAGATCCTTAGTGACATGTTTTAGGCCCTTTACCCTGGAAGTGTCTCCTCTGTTGCTGAGCTAGATAAAATTGATGACCTTTCTGAGCCTTAATGATAGTCCCTCTCCTTATTGTTCCCCTAGCTCTGATCTGTGATTGTTTTGATTTAGAGAGAGTATATGGCTAGTCTGACCTAGTCAGATTTTC